TTTAGCATCTGTATTAATTATGAAAACTTATATCACAACGTAAGTAATGAACAATCTGGTTATATCACTAAAATTACCACAGATTTCAGAAAGATTACACTCTAATCATTCTACTGAAATTGGTGCTACCACTTCTGTAAGGCATTATGGAGAAGAAGGGGTCAGAAGCCAATGGAAAGGATAGAGTAAAATAAAGTAGCAGAAATTGTTGATAAAGGCAAAGATCCATTTTTTTTTTATTGTTGCAAAGAATGAATAATGCTTACGGCAGTTAAATCTATTTTTACGTCGCAGAACGTTTTCTTCCTAAAAAGCTGGAAAGTCCAATTTGTGTATGGCATATACTGGAAGCGATGTTTGACAGCCAGGCCTGAGGGGCTCTGTGGAGCCCCGTTTGAAAACCATGTTGCTCAGTAATAGATGAGCTGTGGTCTCCAGGATGTGGAACTAACATCAGGTAGTTTTCTATCACCCCTGACATGAGCGGCAGCTGCAGGAAAATTTCCAAATAAAGTCTCTCTCATCATCATCTCCACAGTGCTCCTTCAGGGAGTCCGAGAATATTGCTGGTATGCATCCGCATTTTAATCCAACCCTAGGCAATTGCTTTTTTTTTTTTTTTTTTTTTTTGTACTCAAGTGTCCAGAATAGTCCTTTTCTTTTTCACCCTGGCTCTTTAAACTTGCAACTATTAGCTCAGGAAAAGTTTGTCCCTCATTCCCTGCTTCTCTTTTACATTTGAAAAGAAAAACATCTCCATTGTGAATGATAACTGCAAAAGCAACACTAGCCATACGTGTGTTATTAAAAGGAAATTTTGAATTCTGACATGAATTAGACATTAAATAAACAATATCAACTGAAAATGCTTTTCAGAGGCATCAGCACTCCATTCTGGCTTGTTTACAAGATTCTGTTTATAGCCTTTTCTGCCCATTTACGTGCTGTAATTAAACGTGCTTTTTCTCAAATAAGAGCACCCCCTATATAAGTAGCAATTTCTCATTCAATTTTGTTTCTAATTAACCTCTAATGTTAAACTTAGATAAACTTCTATAGAATCCCATTACAGAAAGTAATACATCCCTGTTATATTATAATTGAGCGGTCAGGTAGATTATCTTTAGAATCTACTCTCCCTATAGGCATACTAATTATTTTTATCAGCTGTACTCTGAGTTCCACATAGTGCCCTAAAATGTATATATAAAGCTAATAAAAATGTTAGTCCTTATTTTCTCAAGGAAAGATGAGTGGGAACAAAGAGAGTTAAATAAACATCCCACACTCTTGATTAACACAGGCTGGCAAACACAGGTTTACACAAGTTGTGTAAATAGTCTGGGAAAATGCAACTTGTCACTATGACTAATATGAACCAAGAGGGAAAGCTGTTGTCCAAATCTGGTGTCATACAAATTAGGCAATTCTGAATAAGCTCTAAATGGCAATAAAGAAACTTGTCAATGTTGATATTACAGGATTAATTCAGTGGGGTGGGTGTGTGACTATTATTTCTTCTCCCATTAAGTAGGCAGAGAGAAGCATAGCTATTTGAGAAGTATCTTCATACAGAAACTTCATGGCTCTTATTCCACAGATGTTAGTTGTTCTCAGTGACCTTTTCTAATTATTTCCCAGAAATGTGACACAGAGGGGAGGACAGTCTGGGAAAAAGAAAGAGTCCAAACCTGATTGTGAATGAAATGCAGCCACAAAAATTCTCTCCAGCCCTTCACTCATTCATTCATTCTACACATATTTACGGAGCACCTACAGTTCTAGGTGCTGGGGCTACTTCAGTGATTGAAATAGTCCCGGATAGCCTCATCCATCTGAATTCACGTGAGGGGATAAAGCATAGACAATAAACATAATAAGTAAGTGAATTATATGCTATGTTATAGAATGATGCATGCTTTGGAAATACAAAGTGTAGAGAAGGATAAGGGTTTTGGGGACAGCGGGGTAGAGTTGAGGGGCAGCATGTAAAACTCTGTCCCTCATGTGCAAATGGAAACCTTGTATACATGTATCTTGCATCAGGTAGGTTACCTCTAAGATTCTTTAAAATATAAAGGTTAAATAAAGTATCGAGATTAAATATATAACAGAAAGTTTCAGAAATTCCACCTCCTGTCCGTGAAATCTTAAAAATTATTAACTTAAGAAATATCTAGTACAAACTATGTGGTCAGGCACTGAGTACATTTCTAGTGAATCGATATCATTTAAATTCTCAGAGCATTCTAGCAGTGAGCAGAAACTGTTTCATTTGGTTTTAGAGGAATTTAAAATCTGTTGCTATAGTGATACCATACAAAAAGGAAATGTGTATAATTTGTATTATCTTTTTAGGATAAATGCCCCAAATGTACTTATATATCAACATTTGTTCAGGAATTGTATTTAATACCATGTATGAGGATGGATGAACGAGTATGTGGCTCCCAAAGCATTCTTCGAGATCTGATTTTTAGAGTTTGTGTGTATCACTTTTCAATACAGAGTCCATTATCATGAGGAATCCCAGACATAATAGAATTGTGCCACAAGTCAAGACATTGAAAAAAAGAGTTACCACATGGGAAATGGCTTAGAATAATATAATTAAACTGGCAAAAGTAAAATTGCTTTGTTAGTATAATAACTGGTAATATGACTCACAGATGGACAACACAAATTAAACAGAAATTCCCTAGGGCCATTATTGAATAGGGAATCCGTGTCTCTGTACTGTACACATGTGGTAATTCATTTTATATTTCAACTGAAAGTAGGAGGAAACTTTTTTCCTGAAAGCAACTATCTGAAAAGCTGATTTGATTGAGAGAAGGCAGTGGACATAAAAATGCAATTTAGAGCTTACCTAGGACAGAATGACAAAGTTATAGCATTCCACCAACACCATCAGAATCAACAGAACCTATATTTAAAAAGTAGTAATTTTCAAAGGAATGAGGCAGTAGAGATTCAATTTCCTCAGACTTTACTTTGAGTAAATATGTTAGTGAACATTAAAATATTCCACTGGTTATCTATCATAGATCAGATGGAATAAACAATGAATAACCTTGGACAGATGCAAAGAACTAAACTGGAACAGTTCATTTAGTAAAGGATCATAGATCCTTTCCCAACCCCCATGAAGTTGACTGCCAACATGGACCCATCCTTTTTCTATATTTACTTTTCTTCCTGAATACAGTACTACTTTCTTGCTGCTTTGAATCGACAGTGCTAAGTTAGGAAGTCTTCCGCCTTTGGACAACTTCAGATATTTTTGTGCTTTTACTTTTTTTTAAGTGATCAAGCATTTTTGTGAGAGTCCCAGGATATTTTTAAAGCTTTTTCTGAAAATAAGATTGACTGTTAAGTGGCTGACGGGAGCATTCTTGCATCTAATTAGCAGATCAGGGTAAAAGTGAGAATATATGAGAATCATTCTGAAAGCTCACAGGTTATGTGAAAAACAAGTGACTATCTTGGTGATTCACTATGTATAACAATTTGAAATGTGAGCAAACACTTACATGCTGCATTCCAAGAGAAACATATTTCTCAAGTGATCTTCAATTTTACATTTTAATGACTAATTATGATTGTATATATTATCATCCGATCATCTCGGAATGAGAACTGCATTTGCATTTTCCTGGTATCTAATATGCAGCACCTATGTTATTTGACATAGAGGATAAAATACTCAGTTATACTTAGAGGTGTTTCTCAAAGAATGCCTATTATAAACACTAAACTCTTTTTTCTTTAATTGTTCTAAGTGTATGGAATAATCTAAAACTTAGCAAGGCACATATATTAACCTGAAACATACTTATATCTAGAGCTTCAACATCCTTGGGGCTTATATCACTATACTTTGATAAAACAGAAAATGTAAGATTAGGTTAAAAAAAAAAAAGAATGAGGCTTTTAAAAACTTTATTGTAAGACCATGTGTAAAAGATTCCAATAACTGTGTCACTATGATACCTTGATGGTTTGTAAATGGGAGGTGGTCCAATTACTTCATATTGTTTTCTGAACCATATGGTAAAACTAGAGGAAGACCGTTAGGATAGAACTGTTTTTCGGCAACATTGGAAGGTAACTGCCATGTACACTCTTGCTGGTCATTTGACCCATCTTTCTAGGCCAACTCCCTGAAGAAGGGAGGAGGATCATGGTCCAGTGTCTACAAATATGTGACATCTGTGTTTCAGGCTGACCCACAGTAAACTGATCTCATGACATTATAAAAAGACAACTGTACTAAAATAAAAGAATAATGGAGAAACATTGTTTAAGACTTGGAACCAAAGAGTTCACTAAATATACTGGTCAAAAATGGTCACTTTTCACTAACTTTTGGCAACTCAGTTATTATTACTGTATTTTAGTTTTTATTGTTTCCTCCCTCCTTCCTTTCCCCCTCCCTCCCTTTTGGTTTAGAAATCAAAAGTGGGCACAGTTTCCTAAGAGAATGTACTTTTTTTTTTTTGTCAACCTCACCTTAATAGAGCAGTAGATAGGATATGTTTGAGTTTTCACCAATTATGGCTTTCAATCTTTCTTCTCTGACACTTAATGACATTTTAGGCACATTGCAAATCTTGCCAGTTTGGTTGTTAAAAGTCTGTCTAGTTTAAAACTCTGTTTTCAAATTAAATTAAATTAAATTGAAACCTGTCTCCCTTCCGGTGCAGCTGTTGGGGCTGGTTGGGTCTATTCAACAGACTCTTAATCCCAGAGGCGGCTCTGACAGCACGTGCCTACCTGTAAGCCTTCTTTGGCTTCACTGCCAACTCCTGGACAACGAGACAAGTGCTACCGAATGTCCCGTTACATATAAGTGACGTACGTACAGTGTGTGGTGTCCCATAATGTCCCACTTAGAACGTAATTCTGGAGACCTTCCTTGCCCTCCGTTCTCATACACGTGCATGTGACCTCCACCCCCACAGGCAGACGTGTTTAACACGGGAGGGAAGCGGGATTACCGTGGCTGTTACACCGGGACGTCTCCACCAGCCGGCCGTTCTGGTCGTAGCACGCCATGGCCTGGTAACGGTAGCCTTGGCCGCACTCCTTGACGTCTCCCTGGACTTTCATCCCCAGCAGCACTTCTGCTTTCCCCTCCGGCAGAATGCAGTCCGACCAGTTCCCCACAGGCTGGGCGGTGTACTTGTCACAAGGACAGTACTGAGTCTCCATCAGTGGGTACACCTGAGAATTTTTACAGTTTTCCTTCTTTTTGCTTTTGCCTGTGGAGAAAATTACGTTGGAAAGTACCCTTGTTAATTTCAAGCCTTCCCTACGTCTTCTCCTTTCTTAAACTTCCTTTGTCCATTTGAGCCATAGTCAACAGTAGTCTGTAAATAAACACCGTCTTCTCACCTCACAGGGCTTTCTATCCAGGCTTTTTTGAGTATGGGGTGATTTCCATAGTGGAAAAAAAAAAAAGTATTTTTATTTATTTTTTCATGTAAAAACAGCTAATTGGCCTGACTGGTGTGGCTCTGTGGTTGAGTGTCTACCTATGATCCAGGAAGTCATGGTTCGATTCCTGGTCGGGGCACCTGCCTGGATTGCAGGCTCGATCCCCATTGGGGGCTATGCAGGAGGCAGCCCATCAGTGATTCGCTCTCATCATTGATATTTCCATCTCTCTCTCTCTCCCTTCCTCTCTGAAATCAATGAAAAGAAATAGCTGATTTAAAAATAGCCCTTATCAGCCGAAACTGGTTTGGCTCAATGGATAGAGCATCGGCTTGGGGACTGAAAGGTCCCGGGTTCGATTCCGGTCAAGGGCATGTACCTTGGTTGCGGGCATATCCTCAGTAGGGGGTGTGTAAGAGGCAGCTGATCGATGATTCTCTCTCATCAATGTTTCTAACTTTCTATCTCTCTCCCTTCCTCTCTGTACAAAATCAATAAAATATATTTAAAAAAATAAAATAAAAATAGCCCTTATAAGATTCTAACTGTTGTGGTGAATTTTATACTCTTTAAAAAATGCTCAAAATAGCCGAAACTGGTTTGGCTCAGCGGTAGAGCATTGGACTGAAAGGTCCCAGGTTCGATTCTGGTCAAGGGCATGTACATTGGTTGTGGGCACATCCCCGATAGGGGGTGTGCAAGAGGCAGCTGGTCGATGTTTCTCTCTCATCAACGTTTCTAGCTCTCTCTCTCCCCTTTCCTCTTTGTAAGAAAAATCAATAAAATATATTAAAATAAATAAATAAATAATGCTCAAAATCTTCCCAAATGATCATGTGTTCTGAGGGGAAGGTGGGAGGTAACCACAGTAATTTCTCCTGTAAATGTGCACAAAGATAAAATGGGAGAGGGAGTCACTGGCTGAACTTCACAGCTTTTTTGTTAGTTCAAATAGATGGTATAGCTATCTAGGGAATTGAGAAATTGAGAATTTGCATTTGCTTTTACTTTTTTTGTATTTACTTTTCTGATTATGATTTTGCCCCTTTCAGCATTTCTGAAGAATAATCATTTTGATATACTTGTGATTAACATAGGTATCAATAATATTCAAAATGAAGATATGTAATATGAAGAAAAATATTAGAGACTGTTTATATATAAATGTAAATAAAGCCCCTTTTAAAATAAACAACTCAGGCCGAGGCCGGTTTGGCTCAGTGGTGGAGCGTCGGTCTGTGGACTGGAAGGTCCGAGGTTTGATTCTGGTCAAGGGCATGTGCATTGGTTGCGGGCACATCCCCTGTGGGGGGTGTGCAAGAGGCAGCTGGTCGGTGTTTCTCTCTCATCAATGTTTCTGGCTCTCTGTCCCTCTCTCCTCCTCTCTGTAGAAAATCAATAGACTATATTAAAAAAAAATTTAAAAATAAAATAAAATAAACGACTCAGGTATAACAGTAATACATGCTTAAAATTATATATCATCATTTTAATTAGATAACATATATTTATATTTATTATTTTAAATCTTATAGACAAATTATATAAATACCGTTAATGCATATATTTTACATATATGTATCTGTAGCTTTCATAAGCTAGCTTATATACTTTTTTTGTTTATGACAGCTGGCTTATTTTATAACTTTTAAATTCTGAGTAGTCAGCTAGCGCCAATATTTTTAGGTTTCTTTTGCCAACTGACAGACTTTTTGAATGCACCAGGGTGTAGGTCAGTACGATGTCTCCTGTTCTTGCTCATTATATCACTGCTTTTTGTCATTGTGACTGCCTTTCAAAATGCAGTGTTCTGACACAGAATTAACTCACTGTCCTCTTCCAGGATAATCCGAGGCCGTGACAGAGAGAATGGGCTTAAAAAATGAAGGGGCAACATTTCCTCGTGTTCCCAAAGACCTTTTCTCCCAGCCCTGCAGACTTTGTAGGCAATTCACCAAAAGTCCATATTTAAACAAAAAATAACCTTCCACATGTTGTACAGGTGATGGAGTTTGATTTTCAAGGCCACTTTGTCTTTGTGCTAATATTACAATGTGTCTGTTGCTGCCAACTAACAGTAAAACCCACATCCAAATCCACTGGTGATGTATTAGGTGTAAGTATACCAACAATAAGGCATACCTGTGCATTTTCCAAATGCATCGTCGGGACTTCCTTGGTCTGACTGCTTTGTGTTTTTCTACCTTGACAAGTGGTGACTTAGGCACTCCAGCTAATTATTCTTACCAACAATAGCGCGCTTTCTGGTCCTGACTGCCCCGCAGTCTCCATTGCATGAGGAAAACTTGGACCAGCTGGTAAACTGACAGTCGTCTTGGCAGGGGACCTGGCAGGCCTGGGTGAGGGCTGGCACCGGGCCTGCGTGCTGGAGGCATTCGTGGATGCCAGCCTGCCCTCCGTCTTGCTTTCGACAGGTAATGGCTAGAGGAAAAGCAGAGAACTGTTTATAGCAAACTGGAATGTCTGTAATTACTCCGCAATTTAGGAATTAACATTCTCTTAAGCAGAGGAATCCTCTCTTTATCCTTTATTTGCAGCAGAAATCTAGAAGAAGTGTTTGCGATAATTGATGGTGTAAGTTTAAAAAATAAAATCACAGCTAGGTTTTTATTAGATGCTAGGAAGACTTTCAAGTTACATGTGATGTATACTGAGGCATGAATTATTTCAGAGCAAATAAATAATATATGGGATCTGATAATAGTTTATGCTGAACACAGGCTATTGACAGAGGGGCTGGGAGACACCACCCACCTCTAATAATTGCTTTTACCTCATTGGCCACTCTAGGATTCCTAGACAGAAGGGACTTAGTGGCAGCAAATGAGTTGGTGGGTTGAGTGGAAAGGGGATGCTTATGGAATTTGTCCTGAAGCTGCATTTGCATATTTTTGTTTTTTGACTTTTTACATTAGAAGTTTGTTGGGATGGCTTCGGAGTGGTTAATGAGAGGGGCAGTGTCAAATTCCATATCATTCCCCTCACTCTTAGCACACATAAATCTCAACCAAAAATTCAAAAATAAAATAAAAACTTTCAGCAACCTTGATCTATCATACCACAATTTATATTTCTACAACTACATTTGGACCCTTAAAAAATGGTGTGATAAATCAATAATTTTAATTTGTATATGTTATTTCCCCAAGATATTGTCTTACTGATTTCTATTAACCATGTCATAGTTTCATTACTTTTTAAATGTAGATGTAAAACTGCTTGAAGTATAAAAAAAAGACCAACAACAAGTACGGTTAAAACACCTTTACTTCCTCTGCCTTTTTCCTTGTTGGTTTTAAAATAATTCATTCACTTACTGAGGAGGCAGAGGAAACGTTTATACGTTGGCCCTAAAGTTAAGTCTTTACTGAACTAGCTTAAATGGTGTTAGTCCGGCTGATTTACAGGGCCTCTCAGATTTATGGGCTAGGCTGAAACGTCTGCTGATCTCTGCCTGCTCAGGATTCTGTCATTATGAAACTAAGGTAAAGAGGCCTGATATTTTTGACCCCAAATTACAGTGAAGGGGGCACAGAAGGCCTCTGGTTATACAACACTCTCGGAATCTGTATACGTAAACGTAACACCGAGTAGTTCAGGACTGTGTGATGGGGTGTGCGTAAGGATCTAACAATTCTAGCAAGGGAAGGCTTCATCTGTGTAGATGGACAATTATTGTAAGTTATTGCAATTTCTACAGAAAAAGTTCATACTTGTGCAAATGTAGATGGATTCTCACCTATTTCTTAGCTTATAAGTATCTCTTCATTTAGTATTTAGAACCCTGGAAGGGCCAATTTTATGAAAAGAACAGGGTTCCCTAAATTTTAAAGATACAAAAGCCTAGTAGACAGTAATTTATGAAGGTTTATATGACAGGAAAAACCATTAATGGTCCCAAAGAGACACTTACCCCGTGGGAGAAGAACTGTCTGGTGATCTGTGTTGATCATACCAACCTGAGGTAGTGGGTCTCAAATCAAACTTCAGATTACAATCACCTGGATAGCCTTTGGGAAATGTCCACACCTTTACCTAACTCAAACATTCTGACTTAAGTGATGGAGGGCAGGGCCCTGGGCATTCGCATCTTTTTAAAACTTCCTGAATGATTCAAATGTGTAACCGTGGATGGAGACCACTGCTCAAGTAGGTCAGATATTCCCACTTGCATCAGAAAGGCCTGGAATGCTCTTAAAGGTGGAGAATACTGGATTCGTTCCAAAGCTCCTGCACTAGAATTCTGTGTGTGGGGTGAAGGAATATGGATTTTTTTTTTCCTCAAGCTGCTCAGATTGCCTTATGCACATTCAAGTTGAAGGTCCACTAGGCTTGAGCACTGAAGGCACAAGGAGGGACTTGGTCAAAACTTGTGGCTAAGATGAAAAGTCCTCTGGCACCCAATCACCCTGGCACGGTGCCAAGTGGAGGGAAACAATGGCTGAGCATGTGGGAATGAGCGAAGGAAGCTCTAAACTTGGAGCTCCAAGGGATCTGTACAAAGAATGGCTCTATACAAAAAGAGCATCCACATAGCTTGGGAGAAAGTCATCTGTGGGTGTAGAAGGAGTCCCGTGATGTGGTATTCTAATGAGCTTATTATTCTAATAAGATTTTCGCAGTTATTGCAAAACCTGTGGAAGCAGGGTTGATTCCGGCTTAAACACTTCAAACTTAGCAAGCTTTGGTGGCTTGTGAGCAGAGCTGCCCCAAGGAGGCTAACGAGGAAGGATTGATAAAGAGGAAGATATTTTAGATTTTAGATTTTCTACTCTGCAGGAATCCCAAGAATGACACATTTGGAAAATAAGAGCTTTGACCATATCAGAACTCTTGGCTTGGAAGCAGGTCACACTGTTTATGACTAAAAGAAAATTACAGGACTAAATGTGGGTTCCTTGAAATAAGACTACTTTTACCTACTCATCCAATTGGGCTCTCTGAAACAGAGACCTGGTTATAAATCTTCTGAGAAACTAAATGAAGTTGCCTTATGTTCTCCACTCAGGTTCTCTCTCTAATACAGTTCTTTTTCACCAACTGTATTTCAGAACTGTTCCAATTATCATCACATCAAGTAATAAAAAATAACAAAATAAAATCACTACCATAATTCCAGAAATAAATTAATCTTGGGTAGGTCTATATAAACTATTTACAAAAATCTAAAGTTCTTTTCTCTATACACTTGCAGTACATAAAATCTTTAATATTATGACTAGTTGGAAAGAAAAAAAAATATGTATAATTCCCATATCTGTTCTGAGAACCCACTCAGCACTCCACTCTCCTTATCAGAGATTTTAGACAATGTGCTTTGAGAGAATTACTCAGGCCATGTTATGCAAACAAGTAGAAGCACAAGAATTTGTACAATATATTGAAAATTTATCACACATCTCAACGTGTTTCTATTCTGGCGTAGAGGAAATGCAACAACTCAAACATAGGAATGTAATCTGAAATGAGTTTCCTGCTACTGGGGGCCAGGAAAATAGAAATGGAAAGGAAATCATCTGGTCTCTCAACTTTATAAATTTAAAAAATAATTTCTAAGACACTAAAATCAGAATGTTTTTAACTGCATCTTACAAGGCATGGTTTCCTAGCACACCAGCATGCTGCATACATTCAGACAACTGTATCTGTATTTACAGGTGGAGCATTTACATCTCATGCATAATCACTATGCTGCAAGTTCTTCTCTGGGCTGAGATCTTTTTTAGGAAGATGGGCCAAAAACCATGTGACCCTACAAATAATTCACCATAAAACCTTCTTAGTGAGGTCAGCAAATATTAAAATGATTATTGTAAAGTAAAATCCCATATGTAACTCTCTGGTGATTATATCCATTTATGTATTGATGATTTTATTGTACTTGTACTTAAGGCATAAGAGGTTTTTCAGTTGAATTGATTGGGGTGATATTGGTTAATAAAATTATATAGGTTTCAGGTGTACAATTCCACAATACATCATCTGTATATTGTATTGTGTGTTCACTATTACAAGTCAAGTCTCCTTCCATCAGCATTCATCCCCCTTTTACCCTCTTCTACCTCTCCCAACCTCTCCTTTTAAGTGTCAGGGACAGACTGCTTCCGGCAGGCTGAAAGCCAGGAAGATATCCATGTGACTGACTTGTGAGTTACACATGAATCTAGCCAGCCCATCAACACTGCGGAGATGTTGGAAGAATAAGTAAGAAAGCCAGTATTTTTAAACAAATAAACAGTCTGAAAAGAAGAGACAGAATTGTTAGTTTCAAAGGGACTTAAAAAATATTCCAATTAAATGCAATGGGGAGAACTTCATGAACCCTAATTTAATCAAATCTGATATAATAAAAGTTTAATATGCAAATCATCCCCTCAGAGTTCAATCGACCCAGAGTTCAAACACTTGCTATGACGTGCACTGACTACTAGAGGGAGGCACGGAATGAAGGACGGCCCTGACTGGCAGCCGGAAGGCCCTGATTGGCCCTGATGGCTGGCCAGGCCTAGGGACCCTACCAGTGCATACATTTTGTGCACCAAGCCTCTAGTCAATTATAAACAAGGCATTTTTTGAGACAACAGGGGGAAATAAAATGTAATCTGAATGTTAGATGATATTAAAGAATTATTGTGAATTTTAATACTATCATAATACTGTTATGTTTAAAAAATAATTACATATGTATGGATGACATGTTTCTTACATAGAAGTTGCCTTAAAATATCCCAGCAAAATCTTTTTTAAGTATGTGAGGAGTGGCAGAGGACCAAGAATGGCAACATGTTAAAAACTTGAGGCTGAGGGAGTGAGTGACTAATACTACAAGTACCCATTAAATTATTCTCTTTACTTTTATGTATTATTGAAATGTTCCATAAATTTAAATTTAAAAAAGATTAATAAGTAGGATAAGCAGAGTCGATTCCAGAATGTTTTTATATTAAGTCGAATTCTGTGCTCTGTTTTGAAGAGGAGAACACTAAAGGTTCCTGACATGAAAGGAAATAGATCACATTGGTTTGAGCAGAAAGGACACAGATATCAGTGTTATGCATATCTGAGAATGGAAATGGAAGGATACCGGAGCAGCTGTGAAGTGAATGGAATAGAATTCAGAATGCAGCTGCTCATCTTCATTTTCTTGAAGGGGAATGAAACTCTCTTACTATTCAGGATGCATAAAAAGGAGAAGTGCTGTTGGTCTATGGGATGACCCTTCAGCAGGTAAGACCGTGTTGACATTTTGTTCAAATAATCAGAATGAAGTAAATGGCAAGAACCAGAATGTGCTCACCGAAGTTCAGAATCAGATCACTGCCCGCACGCAGGCAAAGCTGCTGAATTATATGTGACAAAGAGTTCAAGGAGCTCTGAGACCTGACTTATTAAATTGAGCAGCATTAACATGGCTTATCCCA